GAGAAAGGGAAGGAGAGAGAGAAAAGGAAAGTTGGAAAGAGTGAAAGAGACGGGAGAGAAAGAAAGGAAAAGAAAGGAAGAACAAATGTTCCGCGTGTCTTTGAATATGCGTATACGTGCGAGAGAAAAAGAGGCAGGATAACAGAGCAAAACGAATGAATGGGAGAGAATGAAATAAAGAAAGAAAGGGCGGAATGAAAGGAATAGCGTGAGAGATCGTAAGAAATGGAATGAAGTGGAAAAGGAGGAAAAAAGAGTGATGATGACAATAATAATGCTAAGTGGTTCGCACCACAATGAATACGATTGATACCTAAGTGACGTGTAGCTTTATTGAAACGATTATACGGGAGTTGGTTCGATTGAAGGAAAAAAAAGGAAAGATATCATTTCAATATTCTTTTGATGCATCGCAGCAGGACCTGCATTAGCGGTCGACGGTACTTGCAAAATCGATAAAGCCAGTTCATACAAATGTGTGCCCTATTTGGCCTTGTTCCCAAATTACGGCCGTTCTTAATCACTGAACCGTACACGGTTCGCGCGAACGATGCATTTTTCTGGGTTAAGTTATAGGGGTTTGGAATCGAACAAACATTTGTCCGTTATCGAACGAGGTAACGATCTATTGTGCTTCTTGCTGTGCTTGATTTTAAAGGATTGTCTGTTACAGATACAATTTTCGGAAGTTCGGACGATTTGACGAGGAATTGCGTTCCGGCATTCGGATGATCGTTTTGCGCGCTTCCTGTGAAGGAGTGCGAGTGAATATTATTGGAGTACAAAAATAGGATACCTACATTATGAAAACGAAGTCAGTTAGAGCATACATTTGTATGAACTTTCTTCGTTGCTTTTGTGCCCGTTGTTTACCAACGATGTGTTGCTATTAACATGTTGGTCCAACGTGGTATCGAACACCTTGTATTTATAATTTCCGAAAGTTGCTAATATGTTATCAGTTTAGAATGAAATGCACCTGTAACAGCTAAAACTGAAAATACTCTGGAGTTCGTGGACTCTGTCATGAATATTTCAAAGAAAAGCTTGTCATTAAATGTTATTAAATTCCATTCATTTTTCAATTTATTTGTGCTTTAATACGTAGATATGTACTTTGCTTGTTTTACATTCCGAAAATCGTCTGATGTGATCAATGATAAGTAGCCTCCGTTCGGAAATATTAAACATTTACGTTTCATTGAAAGTCGATTTATATTATCCGCGTTAAGAAGAAAGAATTTTTCTTAAAGAAGGAATGAACTGCGCGCTTTCTTCAACTGCACTTTTTGTACGAGATGCTTTCTTATTCTTGGTTAATTAATTTCTGGTATCTCAAAGAGGTTTCTAATTTTGTTAAAAGGATGATTCCTTAGTAATAATATGAATGTAATACATGGATCTTAAAGACAAGTAATTATTCTCCTTGAACCTGATACAATTATTTCGTCGATGATCATCTATTTTATTCCTGTGCTGTCGACATATGTAAAGAATTGTTATTAATTATGAAACTCGATCGCAACACTTGGTTATTTATCCTCACGGCTAGTCATTGTGGGACGAATCACAGCGCGTAGCCGTTGCATGAGTGTGCGATTCATATAAAAATACTATATAAGTTTAAATTGTTTTATATTTTTGTTACGCCTCTCTGTGATATGATAAGGGCACATTCACCTCACCCTGTATATGCATTAATCTTTGTATCTTATTGATTAAGGTGAAACTTTTTGAAGAACAATCCTTGCCAAGCCCTTTCTAATTACATTATCGGATTATCGCTCGTGCGTACCATCGAGTTGCGATGACGGAAAATCAAACTTAAGGAATTCAAACGAAGATCTTAAAGTGTGCACTTGTAAATCGCAAACACTATTGTACATTAACGAACTTAAGGGAATTGTTAAAGCGTTTATAGATGACAATGCATTACGGACTGGATCTATTGAAACCTACGTGAAATATCAATGAAACTGAATATACTTACAATATTATTTCTAACAACTTACACACCGACAACCACATTATTATTTAAAAGGGAAAGGAAAATTATTAAAAAATTCAACCAGTTATCAACTTTATAATAGACTATTGAAAAATTTGTAACGCCCATTTGGTTTTTTTGGGGGAAATCTACTCAGAAAAAAATATTAATAGACTAAAAAGTAAATCAAATGTATGAGATTAGTTTTAATTGATTCAGTCTAAGAAATACTTTTTTCTAAAGAGAATTGTAAGGGTGAATTACCTATGTACCATTGAAGAGTTCGATTCATCGTGCGTGTACTTTTACTCCTTCAGTTTTCTAATCTTGGTGTTACGTGTCTATTTAAAAATCTAGATTTATTAAATGGAAGAATTACATGGGAAGATTCGTCTAGATTTAAATATTGATTTTAGCAATAGTAACATATCCCTTAAGATAAGGTACGTTCGAGCTTGTGCTTGTGGAAGATATAAAGGTGTATCGTTACACATTACATTGTATTGTATTCAATTATAAACCAAACCAAAAAAAAACAACAAAATCCTTACATTAATACCGCGAAAGAAAGATATTACAAATGGAAACATTAATCACTATACAAACGTGTAATAAACACGCGGAGAATTACGTTCTATTAACTATACATGATCATTGTTAATCATGGTT